AAAACAATTATTACATAAATATACATGTAATGTTTCTACACAACTTGTCACTGCTCATCACCAGTGACCAATATTGAGCATGTACATCAGTTGTGTAGGACCGACTTAAGATTCAATTCAAACACCTCGACAAGATTCTGAGTGGGTTTTCAATATCACTTTTTCAGTAGTTACAATTAATGTAATGTCGGTTTCACTGTTTTGAAAATGTTTAACAGCAGCTGATAACACCTTGGAATCAATACAAAGAACATGATTTGTATCAACATTTTGATTCACCTAATAAAAACAAAAATAGATTAATAAATYATTTCTTATATAATAATGAACTGATCAAAAACTCACTTGTAATGCAGAATATTCTAGTACTGGTATCAAATGAGTCTTAACACAAAAATTTGAATAACGTAATTGAATAGTTATTGTATCTGCATTACTTTTAATTTCTATATGGCATGACTCTAAGCACCGAGATAAATGTGGAGATTTGAATATTGTAATACATGACTAAACACATAAGATACAAAGATCAGGTCTTTGAAGAGTTTAAACTTGTTCAATTAAGTTTTGTTAGGTCAAAATATACCTTGAGTGATATTTTACATTTTAATGAATTTTCGCTATTTTGTTCATCATCTTCAGTAAAATAATAACTAGAGAAAAATGACGAATCAAATGTAAACCATGCATATACGGTATGCCAACTATTGGTAGTATGCATGACCAATTGCGTTGAATTGGGCTCAATGTACAAATCTTCACCAATGCGGCACATTGTATTCAATGCTCGCGACAAAACTGCAATATTATGAACAAAATATTGTATTACTTGAATAATTGTACATTATAAATTATTAAAGATATTTTTTATTATATATTTATTATTTAATATTATAACAGTGATAAATCTAGGTATATGAATATTATAATGCTAAAATTTTTGTGGTTTTTTATTCAAATATAGTTTAGATGAAAATGATCTTGCAGTAATTTGAAAACATAAGCAATATTAATTATAGTTACTTTTCAAATTTTGTCTGGGTATAACACACTTCATAGTGATTAAGGYTTGTCACGGTCATCTGCGTTTTGGGGACATCTCATATTTATTTCTATAAATTGGCAACGAACAAAATATACCACTCAAAACAAAACTTAGTCGTCTCCAAACACACTCCAAATCAAGACTCATCAGAAACAATAAGCTATTGTAAATTTGTAACTATCGATCTGTTGATGGTTGATCAGGCTAKTTTATGACAAAATACTCAACATCTATCAAACATAAGATTATAAGAATGAAATTATTGAAATTTCGGTGAAAATTTCAAATTCAAATTTCAAATACAACATTTTCTTTTCTCTAATCTTAACTTCCAGTGTTATCACCTCAAACTTATCAATTGATACGTCTAGTGAAATCACCACCACGATTGCAAATCAAAAGGCCACGRGACTTAATTATCTACGCCCATGGAACGCCTGCCCATTATCAGTGGCCCGTTACCGAAAAAATGTAAAATTCTTATCAATCCCATCAATGTACAATATAATATTGTACTACTCATTACACAATATTAATTATAAATTATAATATTATAGTTCTATAATTTATGTAAGTACCTACTTACGAGAATATTCTWTTAATTAATACTTGTCTACTGTGCACCATTAATCAATAGCCATTAACTATTTTTGTTGATTATTATTCCATTTTTTGAACTATTAAAATATCTTTCAATTCAATTCTTTTTATTGTTATAGTTTCATTTTCAGTATAATTAGAATCATGGTCCATTTAAGTGGTAAGTCTTTGTTCAGCATGCCTCATGAATCATTTATGGTTTGCCAGGTTACTTTTATAATTATTTTTTTAGAAGCTCAAGAGAAACTTAAGAAGTATAGAGAAGACAACGAACGTAAGAGTAAAGAAGTGTTAGAATTATGGGATTCGTCGGTCAAACATAAAATTAAGCAATTAGGAAATGATCGTAAGTGCTATAGCATCAACAAAATCGAACATGGAAATAGGTAGTTCATATTCCATCAATAGTATAGGTGTAAATAGCCCGAGGTATTCAAACTTTTTCATCTTATGGCTCCTTTGAGTCTTAACAAACAGGCCTGGATAGACTCGGCTAGTTATCAAATTGAACTAATAATATTACAGTTGGT